GGCTCGGGAGATGAATCTTCTGCCATTCCACCCGAAAACCTTGGCTCGAACACTCTGGGTCGTTACCGAGATCGTCGAAGCGCTTGCGGTTGGCATTTGATAAGGCGGAGGCGGCGCCTTGACCAACGCTGCCTCGCCCTCCGCGGGGGGCCGCGGGAATTGGCGTGGATGCCGCCCTCGGAGAACCAGCTGCACTCGCTCTCTGAGGCGCCCGTGCTCTGGCCGTCAGGGAGCGCCGTCGTCCGGTGGCGCCCTGGCTCACCAGAGGTCCCTGAACACATGTTTGACTCTCTCCAATGCCTCGCCAAAGCGGCGCGAATTCCTCCTGGGCGCCGAGCTCGACCCTCGCCTGGAGGCGCTCGATCATCGCCGCTCTGCGGGGGCGAATGGCGCGCAAAACCCTCTCGCAACTCTTCTGCTAGAGCGCGTTCACCCAACGCCTTGCCCCCACTTGCCACTGAGGCCCAACGACGATGCTGCGGCAGTTGCGCGGGCTCCATCATGCATGGTACACGCCATGCCTGTGGGCAGAAAGCCTCGTCTCCCGAATAGCTGCCACCGTCGGGAGCCGAGGCCTGCCCGTATCAACTGGATCCCAATAGTCGTGGACAACGGGCCCGGCTTCCGCCCCTTCGACTGCTCCGGGGGGGTGGCGTCTCCCTGGCCGCGCCTCCTCCTGCGGCCTGCGCAAGACAGCCACCAGAGAACTGATTGCGGCCATCCAGCAACTCGGCCCCGACGGCCCCGGGGCATCGCGCGCCCCTGGCCGCGCCGCCTGTCGACCGGTCACCTGACTCGCCCGGGGGCGCGCGGACGGCCCCGGGGGAGCGCGCGCCCCCGGCCGCGCCGCCTGTCGAGGAGATGCAAGCCACGTAATTTGAGGCGCCGACGGCTCCAAGGAAATACGCGCCCCTGGCCGCGCCGCTCGTCGACGGGGCAACCGGCCCGCTCGTGGAAGCCCCGACGGCTCCAAGGGAATGCGCCCCCCTGGCCACGCCCGCCTGTAGACGCCGCACCAAACCCAAACTCTGACTCTGGTGAGCCGACGGCCCCAAGCCTGGGGAGGGCGCCTCCCTGGCCGCGCCGCCTGCCGCGGCCTGCATAAGACAGCCGCCGGTAAATTGTTTGCGGCCATCCAGCAACTGTGGCCCGACAGCTCCAGAGAAACGGCCCCCCTGGCCGCGCCGCCTGTCTTCGCCGACGAGGGCGGCGAAGCCGACGCTCGGAAGTATCTCGTTGGGCCCCTTCCTGACATGGGGGGCGCGGAGTCTGAATCTCCCGCCCCCCCCCCGATGCAAAGACGCGGCCGCCTCGAAAAGTGCGAAGGCCATCTCCTCGAACGGCGTGGAAAAGGCCACAGGCGGACGGGTCGACGTCGCAGTGGTAGAAGGCGCCGCCTCGGAGCGACGCATGGAATACCAAATGAAAAGGTGCTGAACCTGGGCTCAGACAAAACCGCGGGTCTCCAGCTGCGTCGCGCTCGCCAAGCGCCTTCGCGGCCCTGCTGCGAGCAGCGTCCCGGAGAGCATCGGGGCCAGAAGCGGCCGCGCCGTCACTGCCAGTGCCGTCCAGGTCTGGGTCCTCCTTGGGCCCAGCTGGCTGCGCGGCCTTGCTGGCGCCGCCCTCGCCTGGGCGAAGGGTGGGGTGGCCTCTCGACGCGGCCCCCTCCTGCGCTTGGACTGGGGCCAGGCGGACATCTGCTGGGTCTGCTCGCGCAAGGCTGCGATGCTCTGACAAGTAGGCCCCGCGGCCTTGCTGAAAGCGCCATCCACCTCCGTCGCCAGATGCAGCTCGGGCCTGTCCCACTCCTGCCACTCTGTCTCGTCAAGCTCGAGACTGCTGACATCTAGTGGCCGCCCTGGTTCGCGTCGAGCGGCGCCGCGAAGTTTATGGCGGACGAAGGAACGGATGGCGCTGATACTTTCGGCGGTGGTGGCACATGCTTGGCGCAAACCTCTTGCCTCTCCCGACGAGTCAGCGCCGCTTCCTCGGCCGCCTTTGCCTCTGGCTCCGTGGCTTCGCGAAGCTACGCCTCGCCCTCCAGGGCGCGCAGGGAGCAGGCGCTCGGTTGTTTGGTTGCTCGCCTGGCCTCAGTGCACTTGGAGTTGACCTTCGCTTCGAACAGCGACTCCCTCTGCGGCGCCGCAGGGGACCTCACGACAGGCGCGTGCGGAGCTCAGCGAGAGGATCGGCTTGGGCAGCCGCCCATCGGGTGCCCACCCTTCGGGGCCCTCTGCCGCCGCCCGCCGCGCCCTCCGCCGAGCCCGTCGGTGCCCTTGCCGCCGCCATTGGAGTTGAAAGGCGGCCCAGGGTTGAGCAGGGTCCGACCGTCCCGGCATTCCTATAGTCCTACCACGAAATGTTCTTAAACCCCCCATATGCTCGAATAACAAAGAAAAAGGTTCTTAGAACATAAGCCCGATGTGATAAAACAAGAGAGTCCCAGCCAGAAATGTTCTAAGAACATGCCGTGCGAACCACAAAAGGTTCTTAGAGCATGTTTTGGTGGGTCTATAGGCGAGCCAGGACGCTTCGCCGCTGCTTGACCCAGGGGGGGTACCAACACCGCTCAAGCTCGAGCCCGGCCGAAACGGCGACTCGCGTGGCGGAAGAGCAGGCGGGCCGAGCGACCACTGGCCAGAAGGCTTCCGGCAGCGACAGCTGGAGCACGCGATGAACTGAGCCTTCTTGCCACCCATGCCGACGCGAGGACGCGATCACGCCATGTCGTCTCGCGGACTGGGGCGTGCGGGAAGCGTCTGAACAGTATGGTCCCCAGATCCAGACCCGGGAGGACAGTCCGAGAGATGAAAGCACGCTGCGGTCTTGCGGTATCTACTCGTTCCCTTGTGGAACTCATTATGATGAACCTAGACGGATCTGGGAAAGAAAGCGCCCACCAAGACGCCATCAAACTGCCTTGAAGAAGCCCCAGCCTCCCACGAGATTGCAACGAACATCCAACAAGCTTCACACCCACAACCCAGGCACGGTGGCGGGATGGGACGACTGCCATGCGATTTATACACTCATACACATGCGCATAATTGATTGTATCGATCCGAATAAAAGCGCAGATGGAAGCCGTAGCTCCCCATCCCACCCATAAATCTGGGATTTCGGATTGGGTTGGGGTGGTCTGGTAGGTAATCAACCTATGAATCCGAACCACGGCTTAAGAGACCCCCAGGAGAGACCCCTGGACACGTCCCCTGGCACGTTCTCTGGCACGTGCACTGGGCCCCCCAGACATCCCTGAGAAGGCAGCCAGAATGGCCATGTAAAGACAAACGCACACACAAACACACACACACACACACATACACACACAAAGACATAAACACACACACACACACCCATCTATATACACATATCTATATATATACATAAATGTGTATCTATATAGATATACAAGACTGCAGTGGCGCTTTGCGCCATGCACCTTGGTACTTGAAGTTTGGTATGCAGGCGGAATAGCAGCGAGGTCAAGCCGACAATTTAGCGATAACTCCTTGTTGCATCTTCTGGCATCGCCATTAAGATCATGTTATTCGTTATCCTTCATCCATGCTTATTGTTCCTCATGTTCGCCGTGCCCTGCGCATTCTCCCGATCCTCCTCAGCTCTTTTGTGCAGAGGCTCCTCCGTGGAGAGCCTCTGGGGGCCTCACAAAAGTTGTTTCAAGCTTTCTTAGGCCTTCTGGAAGCCTCTTGGGCGTATTCTGGGGCCTCTGGGGCCTTCCTCGGGCCACCCTGCCATTAACCGCGGTCTCCCTGAACGACCGAGTCACGATTAGGAATGCTTCGGAGGGTGTCTTGGGGCCATTTTGGGCCGCCTTGGGCTGGGCTCTCTGAGGGCCATCTTGGACCCGTGTTGTGCCGTTTTGGGGCTCTCTTGGACTGCCTGGAAGCCCTTTCGGATGGTTGTGGGGCGATTTGGGAGCCTCCCAGGCGGCTTCGGACGCCCGGAAGACCGCCGTCTTGGAGCGTCGGGAAGCCGAAAAGAGGAGAACCCCAAAATTTACCAAAAACCAACAGAAAATCAATGATGTTTGCCTCTTGGGGCCTTCTTGGGAGAGCTCTTGGAGGCCTCTTTAGGGCCGTCCTGGAGGCCTCTTGGGCCATCTTGAGGTCACGTCGGTCACTCTTGGAGCGCTCTTGTGCTGTCTTGGGGGTCTCTAGGACGTCTCCGATGACCCCCCGATCGCCCTAGGTGTGCTGGGAAGGCTTGCCCGGCCCGTCTTTACAGAAAGGAAGGGCTTCCGAAGCTACCCCCTCTGAAACTCGCCCCTCCTCCTGCTGTGAAGAGAGGGGTCTTCGGAAGCTGGACCCCCCCTGCCCCTTTAGGCTTCCACTGTTAGCCGGGTCTCTTTTCGGAGGGGAGGGGCTTCACACACTACCCCAACCCCCTTCCCTTTGCGAAGCAGTGGGTCGTCGGTCAAGGGGGGCGGCTTCCAAAGCTGAAGTCTAATTCAGCTCAGCGTGGGGTTAAGCTCGAACCCGAAGTCTGATTCGTTGCAGAAACACAAACAAGCACCTCGCACTTTTCAGATCACGGCGGCAACGTGTCGCAACATCACTTCCGTCCAGTGCAGACCAGGTTGAGGGTGGCGCGACCGCACGGGGAGAGAAATTAATGAGGATGGATGGGATGGAGGAGGTGGAGAGGGGAGGGAGTTACATGAGTGGGGGGATGAAGGAAGGAGGCGGGCTGCGGCCAGACGGATGAGGAGAAGGGAGGTAATGGAGCAGTGAGGGAAACAAGCGGAGGAAGGGACAAGCAGGAGGGAGCAGGGCGGACGGGAGAGCGATAGCGAATGATGGAGTGGAAGGGATGGCTGCGGCGTGGTCATGAAAGGACAGGGTCCTGAGGGAAGCGGCTCCTTGACCACGGGAGTGCCCCCAGGACCCGACCTTGCATCCTGAGTCCTCCCCGCAGGAGGACGCAGGCAGGAGAGCACTGTAGCATGGGGGCGAGCGCGGAGCCGTGCGACGGCGGGCCTGCGTGGCCTTCAGCAGCTCCCACTTCGTGGATCGGAACTGGGCGGTGCTGGACGCGGATGCCGGCGTCTGGCGGGGTGCGCTCTGCCACGTGCACGCGTGCCCAGGATCTCTCCACTCTGCGATTGGCAGTACAACCTGCGAGATGCTTAAGAAATCATGGGTTAAGAAATTCATAGTCTCAGAATTTGAATAAAAACCCAGAACTTCGATTATAATCATAGGATTTACATTGAAACATTAAGAATAATCGAGACTCTGGCCGAAAACGTAAGCTTTCTTAAACATCGCCTGGGGTGTACAGTCATCGCGCTACCAAGGCAAGCGCTGGGCGAGGAGCGACCGGGCTCTTCCGGCCACGGGGAGCCTCGGCCACGACGAGGCTCACCGACCTGGATCCAACGGACGTCCCGAGGACCAGAATCACCTCCTGAGCGCGAAGTTGCCCTTATCTCAGCGACCCTGTAAGTAGCGTCCCTCACAGGGGGTAGGAACCAATCTGATCACATTTGCTCTTCGACTCTTGGGAGCATCGTGCAGTCTCTTCCGTGCCCTTCCTGCTCTGGTGCTTCTTGTTCCTCGCACTCCTCCTCTGCTTTCCTCCTGCTTCCTCAGCCTCTGTCTTCTCCTGCTTTCCTCCTGCTCCTCTCCTCCTCCTCCTCCTCCTCCTCCTCTTCCTCCTCCTCATGCTCCTCCTCGTCTCCTGCCTATTCCTCCCGCTGCTCCCAACCCGCCTCCTGTCCTCCTCCGCCCACTCGTCCACTTGCCGTCACACCTTCTCCCTTTTACAGCTGCTCAATCTGAATGCACTCTTCTCCTTCCCCTGATGGCGTGCGGAAGATGGCGGGCGCCCCTCCGCGTACTGTTTTTTTACACACAGGATTTCCCGGAGTTGGGTTTTCGCTTGGGCGTTTTTTTCAAAATGCTGCTCTCGCTGAGGCGCTGGCCTCATTTTCGGGTTCCGCTCGTTCCGAATCGTGCTCCTGCTGCAGCTTGGGCCTCATTTTCGGATCGGTGTTGCCTCCGTCGTTCAGGATGGCGTTCTCGCCCCAGCGCGGGCCTCTTTCTCGCGAGCCCATCCGCCCGCCACCACCGCACCGCGCCCCGCCCCGCCCACCGCCACTTCCACCCACCAACGCACGCACGCACGCACGCACGCACGCGCACCACCACCGCGCACCGCCACCACCACCCCACTACCCCACCCACCACCACCACGGTACACCGCGTCACACCACATCACACGCGCGCGCACACAGACACACACACGCACACACACATACTCACGCACACACACACACACACACGCACACACACCACCACCACCGCCACCACCACCACCGCAATCACGCACGCACGCACCTGGCGCACCATATGCTGTTTTCACCACAGCACACGCGCACACACGCACACACACACACACACACACCACCACCACCACCACCACCACCACCACCACCACCACCACCACCACCACCACCACCACCACCACCACCACCACCACTACCATCACCACCACCACCACTACGCACACACGCACGCACGCACGCGCACCACCACCTACTACGCACGCTCGCGCGGAGCCACAGGTCCGCTAAGACACGCGTCCGCAGATAGAGAAAATCAGACGTCAGATATGACGCGAGCGCACATAAGCTTGTCTGCTCCCCCTCCCTCTCTTCCCTCTTCAACCTTTCAGAGGATGCGGAAGCCGCTAGAGGCACCGGGAATGCCCAGGAGGCCACAGCCTGCCGCAGGAATCCCTACTGTCGGCCCGAGGAGCACGACGGTGTCAAGAGCGGGACCGCCAAACATCAACGTGCCATCGCTCGGACGTCCGTTCCCCGTGCCTTTTTCGGCTTCGTGTGTTGATAGTTTATTGTCTTGCAAGATGAGTCGGGACCCTGAAATCCGACGTTGCCCAAAAAATGCAACATCGCACACAACAGACGCGCCCGAACGCCCGGACCCCATCTTTCTGCATCATTCTTCGAGCCGGATCGATCTGTGAGGGCCCCGGGGCCCGAAATCGAACGAAGACGCCCGTTGTGAAAACATTGCGACGCCAGGATCTGCAGTTATGTCGGGCCTGTCCCCCTACAGGGGGATTTTGTGCGAAAAATTAAAAACAATCAAAATAAGATTCAAAAGATGCCCAAAAATAGTCAAAACATCGTCCCCAAACTATTTTTTGACTAGGTTTGATTTGTCCCCCTGTAGAGGGACAGGCCCGACATAAATCTACGGCGACGGGGATGCTCCTCGATGGTCCTCACCGCGGCAAACGCGCACGTCCGAGCCATGCCGGGGGACTCTGCGGGTCCGGAAGGCGTCCGGCATCCGGGAGACGGCCCCCCGCGTCGCCGGGCGATCCGTTGCCTCCCCTGGCCGCCCCGCGGCGCCCTTCAAGAAGCCCCCCGCGCGGGCCCCTGGAGGCTTCCAGGGTTAAGTCGGGCCTGTCCCCCTACAGGGGGATCTTCGACGGAAAATAAGAAATACCTCAAAAATAATACAAAAATAATGCAAAAATTGTCTGGGGACTATTTCTTGAATCTGAGTTTGCCTTTTGGGGGCATTTCTGGTGTATTTTTTATTTCTCGTCGAAAATCCTCCTGTAGGGGGACAGGCCCGACTTGATTCCAAGGGGGCCCCAGGGCGACCCAAGAGGCCCCCAAGACGGCCCCCCAACGACGGCCTAATTACGTGGCCCCCAAGACGCCCAAGATTGTGGCCTCCAAGACGACCCCGCAGCGCCCTCAGAGGGCCGCAAAAGCGAAGACGGTCTCGAGGACGAGGCCCGTGGACTCCCGCGGCTGCCCCGCCGGGGCGCCCGAACAAGAGCTCGCGCGGGGCCGGACGAACGTGAAAACAGCATCGAGAAGGGCAGGTCTTCGCCAGACAGGCTCTCAGGCGCCCCCTGACGTCGCTGTGCGGTTCGGCCTCCCCCTGACCGTCCCGCAGGGGCCCGAGACAACCCCCTGCGCGGGGCCCGAGGAAGTGGCGGCAACCGCAGGAATAGGAGCGTTGTCCCGCGCCCCGCCCTGGGGCGGCCCCCATGCCCTCGCCTCCTCGTCCGAGCACACGACTGCCAACCACCCACCTTCCGAAATGTACGGCACCGACGACGACGACGACGACGACGACGACGACGACGACGACGACGGCGACGACGACGACGACGTCGACGTCGACGTCGGCGTTGCTGTGCGAGTCGGCCTCCCCTGGACGTCCTCCCGGGCCCTCTTAGAGCCCCCCGCGCGGGGACTGAACGAGTTCCGACACGTTCGAGAGTTCGAGGTGGGGTAGGGGCAGAGGAGGGGTCATAGGAAACTTGCTAAAAACGGCCTGTGTAAAAGGACATGTGTGATCCTGCTGGGGATGTTCCCTAATCCCTCCTTGGAATAACCCCCCCTCTACGAACCCACGAACAATGGAAGTGCTCCCCATACGCAAACCCGGGGTGCTGTGCAATTTGGCCTCCCTTGGCCGTCCGGCTGGGTCCTCTGAGAAGCCCCCCGCGCGGTGCCTGAAGGAGTTACGACAAGCTCGAGCATAGAAGTGGTCCCCTGCGCAGGCCCGGGGCAATCCCCCACGCTGCTGTGCAATTTGGCCTCCATTGGCCGTCTGGCTGGGCCCTCTGAGAAGCCTCGCGCGGGCACGAAAAGGAGCGCAATGTTTGCTTCGCGGCCATCACGGGCGTTATGGGGGGGGGACGGGAGCGGGCACGACGTTGCGCGCCTCCCCCCCCCAAACTGTGGTGCCAAACGCCTCCCCCCCCCAAACTGTGGTGCCGAACGCACCGAGGGGGGGAGCGTTACGTTGTGGGGGGGAGGGTAGGGGGCCATAACGCGCGTCACGTTCTGCGGGGGAGCGTTACGTTAGGGGGGGAGAGAAGGGGGGGACGGGGAGGGGGAGGGTAGGAGTGGAGCGTTACCTTATGGGGGGCGGAGCGTTACATGATGGGGGGGGTGGAGGGTCATAGGGGGGAAGCGTTACGTTAAGTGGGGAGGGGGGAGGGTAGGGTGAAGCTACCCACCCGCCCGCAAGCCGTCTAGCTCACTCCCACCCGCCCTCCCTACACATGAGTAACACCCGAGCCTGAGCATGTTCAACGGTCGTCTTTGGATGGACAGCTACTGGCTACTGGGAACCAAAGCCGACCCCAGGTTCGCGACGCTTGGGCGAGGGGCGCCACGCGTGCCAGGGGCGCCACGCGTGCCAGGGGCGCCACGCGCGCCAAGCACCCCTGGGGCCCGAGCGTGCCAGGCACGCCTGGTGCGCCAGATGCGCCACGTGTTCCGATTGCGCCAGGTGTGCCGCACACTCCAGCCGCGCCAGGTGCGCCGCGTTCGGGGCACGTGCAGAGTGCGTCAGGTGCACCTGCGCACGTGACAGCACACATCGGGAAACATGTCGGCCCCAGCCATCCTTGTCGAAAACCGATGCCCATCATTGTGTGTGGTGGGCCTGCGCACAGCAAACCACGCGCCACCACCCTGGCCGACCCTGTCAAGAACCAGCTGACAGTGATCGCGGGATGGCCGCGCATGCTCCAGATTTAGCCGCGAGGTGCATGTTGTATTGTTTTTTGTCAGGGATGGTAGCCCTGCGCGCAGCAGGGAAGATGCTGATACCCCCGCCGTCCTCGTCAAAAACAAAACAAAGTGCTCGCGGGCCTCACGAACATGACTCAAGAATTTGGCCCAAAGTGTACTTTGCATTGTCTTTTGACAGGGATGGTGGGGGGGTCGCATCGAGTTGGCCGCACATGCTCGAAATGCGGAGGCAGAGTGCAGTTTGTATTGTTGTTTGACAGGGGATGGTGGGGAGCGGGTCGGCATGTTGTCGGCAGGGCGTCGGCATGGTTTCGCGTTGGCCCCCGGTTGCCTAGGGGAGGGGGTGTAGATTAATAAGGAACAGTGATAGGGGGGCATAACGCGCGTCATGGCCCAGAGGGGAGCAAAAACACTCTCAAGCGAAGATAGTCTCGGGAAGGGCCCGTTGCCCCTGCACTGGCCCCGCTGGGGCGGGGTCATGCTGCGGTGCGAGATTTTCCGCCCTTGGCCGTCCATGGCCGTGCCCTCGTGGAGAGGCGCCGCGCGGGGCCCGAAGAGTGACGACTGCCTCGATGCGGGGGAGAAGGGGGGATGACTTGGACGAGTAGGGGGATGAGGAGCGGGAGGAGGGAGAGAAACAGAAGGTAAGTCCTCGTTCCGACCACCGGTCAGGCCCCTCTGCGTTCCCCTCCCAATTCCGCTCTCGTCCGCCTCAACCATCAGCTCATCCTCTTTCTTGTCTTCCTCCCGCTCCTCCTCTTGCGCCCCCTCCTCCCCCCTCTTCCTCTTCCTCCTGCTCCTGCTCCTGCTCCTGCTCCTGCTCCTGCTCCTGCTCCTCCTCCTCCCACTCCTGAGAAGGAACGTTAGGGGGCGACCTGCTCGGGGAGGGGGGAGAACATCAAGCGTGAATCGGCGATGGGCCCCCGATAGCAAAACCGCCCGTTCCTGGGCGGGGTGACTTATCGGGGCCCCATTGGCAGTGCGCTCGTGGATCGACGCGTCCCACCCTGAGCCCGTACACCTCCGAAGTTGCCCCTGAACAGCGCAGATGGCCTACCCCGCAAATCCTGGAGGCGCGGGCATGGACTTCTCCCGGAGGAGGGCTGCGTTTGCTTCCGCGGGCCGCCGCCGAGAGCGACAGGCCCCATCCCTCGAGCCCTCGGCGACGAGGCCGCCTCTGGAAGGGCGGAGCCGTCCTCGCTGGGAGCGAGGTGCGCAGGCGGGCGCGCGCGGCGAGCCGCGCCTCCTGTTTCTGCAAGTGTGGCGCCGGCGCCCGAGGAGGGCGCGCCTGCCTCGAGCCTCCGTCGCGTACTCACACACGATGGCTGCGCCCGAAAACTCTGAGGCCGACAGGTCCCAGTGTCGCAAATACAAGATAGCGGCCTTCATTCGACAACGTGCCCGCTTCTACAGCGCCTGTCCCTGCGGCGGAATGGTACCACGTACTGCGCACAAAAGAAACGAGGTGACCGAATGCTGCAAAGGCACGGTCAAACAAATGGGTCGCCGAGCTATGGCCCCTCAAAAGTGTGTATACGGAATTCGCATGCTGGGCAATCAAAAACTTGAATCCGCCCCGGCCCAACGGCCCAAAGGCGTGCCCAACTATCTGGCAATCGGCTCTTGTGGCTTTCGGCGTGTTTTTGCTCGCGCCAGGCGGCCCCATGGTCTAAAGATAAAACGTACCCACCTGGCATCGCTCGGACGTCCGTTCCCTGTGTTTTTTTCGGTTTCGTGCGTGGCTTTTTCGCCAAATGATCAAGAATGCTCCTCGATGGCCCCCGCCGAAGGAAAAATGCACACCGAGCGATGCCAAGACCCAAGGCAAGTCGCGCAAGAGATGCCCCGTAACTCCCTGGCGCGGCCTGGAAAGCCGCCACGCGGTCGCAGCACTTGCCGATGAGGCATTCAGGACACGTCCCTCACGGCCACCTCAGCTGTCTAGACTCAGATGTTTTACAGCATGCTTCCGAGAGACCCCAACACCGCCACAAGACGACTCCACGTGACCAGGGAACCTCCCAAGAATACCCCAACGAGGCCAGCCTCACTCAAACACATGGTGGTCGTTTGCTGGAGCGTTCTTTACTGCGTCGATGGTAACACTCAAGCGGGGGTCGCGTTCCGTGTAGCTTCTGCCCAGCGACTGCTTCACCCCCTTGCAAGCTTCACACGACGGTTCGGTGAAACTACCACCCGACAACGTGGAAATCGCTACGACCGGACAAGCAGAAGGCAACGGCATGCAAAATGGACTGGCGGAATGCGCGAAGCGCTTAAATTCACTTGATGTTCTTCACAGCGTTTGTGAAGAACCCCTCGATCTCCTTCAATTTGGCCTCAGCTCGTCTCTCAACTCTCATCACGGCTTCCTTATCCGCCTCTGCCTGGATCTCGTCCTTGACCTTTTTCAGCTCGGTCTCGGCCTTTTGCTCCAACTCCGCCCCCACGTCTTCCACAAGCTTATTACTCTCCATCGCTTCCTTCTTCGCCACATTCACGAAGTCGTCCTTCACCTT